AAAAAAAAAAAAAAAACTTCAATACCTAAATACCCCCGAAAGAACGCCTTCATGATTAGCTAATTTTCTAAGTGGTGGTCCAATAAGGTTGGGATTAACGGCTGCTAACCATGACTAGTCTAAATTAATGACGCTTAATTATGACGGATCAAATTAATTGTCATGATTGTTAATTCCAAAATGAAGACCACCATGTTTAAATTAATTAATAAAATCGTGATAAAAAAAAAAATGAAGTTAGGTGTGGCAGGCAAAAAGCCTGAAGTGGGGATGGATATATAATTTATATATACACATATGTTATGTCATGGAGGGTAAAACCTCTTGAACAGCTTAGATCGTCATTATATGAATTATTAATTATGCAGAACCTTACAAAGTCATATGTATTATTAATATAGTTTAGCTTTAGCTAGATAGATTTTTATGGAAATTATATTGAAACCACGCATAGGGATATATATAAAAATGCGCCACAGTCATCGATCTCATATGGCTTCATAAGGTCATTTTTTAATGAGCATTTTATTAATTTTGTGATAGCCATTCTTAATCAACTTTAGTCTTAAATGGATGAGATTTGTGTTGAGTAGACAAAGACCAATAAATTACGACAAGTCATGGCACTCAGATCCCGAGATGCTCATTGGACCAAAAAATTGAGTTGAATCTTATTAATCTTTATCATTATTTAACACCTCAATTGTTCTCTTTTCAAAGGCTAAAGAGATTATAAAGAGATATATATATATATATATATATATAGGTAAGGTCTTTAAACCGACACTTACTGTTTGCCGGACTAAAATGACAGTTGTATAATTCTACATAAATCGTGTATATTTACATATAAAGTCGTGTATATTTACATATAAGATATATATGTTAAGTTATAAGAAACGACAATGTATATTAATCCTCCTCGAAACATGTATTTTTTATAGTAATTAAGTGAACACATGGCATAAAAATATGTATATTGACTGATTTGTTGTATTTCATGTTAAATATACACGACTTTACATGTAAATATATACAACTTTACATGTAAATATATATAATTTATACAGAATTATACAACTGTTGTTCCGATCAGATACAAGTGCCTGACTAAAGACAATTCATATATATATATATGCAAGGAATAAACCCCTTCACCAGTACCAAACAATAGATAGTACGTACAAATCCTCAGAAGTGGTTTCCTTGGTATGTTGAATTCTATCGGTTTTATTTGCAACTATTAAATCTTTATTGAATCAGGTCAATTTTACATACATTTTTACTCATTTAATTAGTTTTTATTAAATCTAACATTTAAAAACATATATTACGGGTATGAATATTGTACAAAACTCGTACTTGGTAATATTACCAAATTTATAACCAACTAATGCATGACGTAATATATTTTCTTGATTACATTGGTCATAGATCACAATTATTAAGCTAAGTACGCAACACCTAAAATTCATTCCTAATAATTAGAAAATTACAACAAATGGTTCCTGCCATGTTCAAAAAGTCTCAGAAAACCATGGTTGGCGTGTAGGGTGACTGCAGCTATGCATGTATATATAAGATATATAATAGAGGGGCATTATTACATATTATATATAATTTTAACACAAAACTAGCATCACACATATTAACATATAAAAGCAAATTATTAAAAATCTGTTGAGAGTCAATGGAATTGAAAGCTTTGTCTCACCGCGTGTAAGACAAGCGTTTTGACTGCTGACAATGAATCAAGAAGTTTAAACACCGTTTGATTCTGATCCACTAGGCTACAATACCAATTATGGGTCAGTTTAGTTTACTGATTCGAGTTTTTAATTCGAGTTGAGATGTGATTTTATGTGAGAGCTTTTTATTGTAATAAAAAAATTAGATGTGATTATTTCTGAAAGTTTTTTACTGTAACAAAACTCAAATTTTAAACTCGAATCGGTGAAATGAACGATGACTACATATACAATTTGACCCTCTTGGCCACGTGACGTCTTCTTTTGTACGAAGCTTCAAAGATATTGTGTACTTATATATATATATATATATATACTATATAGACTATAAATATAGATTATGCAATATTGAGAGGGCCCACATGAAAACACAGCTCCAATGTAAGCTAACATGTTGCTCTAGTTGGGAAAACGTTGAAATTGAATTTTTCATTGAATTGTTTAAACATGGTCACAAAAAAGAAAAAAACAAAAATGGCAAGAGTTGTGGCTTGGAGCGTTGACATTTTTGGTTGCCTACGTAATGGGCAGTAGATGATTATCGAATTCTTATTTGTTTATAGTAAAGTCCGAAAGTAGTGGTTTGTTTTTATATGGAGAAAAATAAGTTGGGGAAAGTGGCAATGGTAAGAGAAATATAAATATTAGTGGAAACTTGTAATAATAGGATCTGCTAGCTAGAGTTGTATAGGAGAAAATAGCTAGGAGTTGAAAAAATGCCAAACTCTGATATTGGAAGTGCAGATCATCTTGTAGAAGAAAAGAAAGTTGAATCCATAAATATTGCACATCAAGAGAATCAAAGTACTCAAGTTTCAACAAAGGTATATATATATATATATATATATATATATAGATATATTGCCTTCATGTTGTGCATGATTTATGGTTTTTTTTTTTGTTGCAAATTAGTTGATATTTGATTATTCTTGGTGTTCTTATTCCCTTAAAATTCTATATTGCCTTCATGTTGTGCATGATTTATGGTTTTTTTTTTTTTTTTTTTTTTGTGGCAAATTAGTTGATATTTGATTATTCTTGGTGTTCTTATTCTCTTAAAATTCAACCATGACGTATATACACACACACGTATATATATATATATATATATATATAGATATAATTCGTGTACTTTTATGTAGATCATAGAAAGGCTGACACTTGATTTTGCAATATTATTATCTTCAATAATAGTTGAAAATTGACTATAACTAATTATAAGATCCGGTTCTCAATATTGAGATGATTTCAATCAATTTGATTTAGGGGTGTGAGCTTGAAAATGCCAAGGCCCAAATGGGTGAGATAAGACGAGAAAACCAAAGGCTAAAAATGGTGTTACAACACGTTAACAAGGATTACCAGTCTCTCCAGTTGCGCTTCTTCGACATCGTCAAACAAGAAGACCCCAGGAAATTGTTAACCACAGATAATTCATCCTCCACAATTAAGCATGATCAAACCGAAGAAGAAGAAGCCGAGCTCGTGTCGCTTTCCCTCGGAAGAAGTCCAAGATCAGAGGCTAAAAATGTTCATATTGTTCAAGATCACGCTTATAAAAACTTGATCAGGGGATCAAATATAAGAGATGAACATCATGATCAAGATCATCATGATGACTTGAAGGCCAATCTTACGCTTGGATTAGGCTCCGAAATGCAGTTGTCTACTGAGCTTGTGACTTTTCCTAGTCCAGAGAATAGTATTTCAGAAGAGGCTAAGGAATTAGCAGAACCGCATGTAAGTAATGGAGATCATGATAAAAGTCAAAAGACGAGAAATGGCGATGATCATGAAGTTTCACATGAGCAGCCTCCTGCTAAAAGAGCTCGAGTTTCTGTTAGAGCCAGATGTGATACTCCAACGGTTAGTGCATTTTACTTTATCTTTGTCATTTCATATATTATAATTGAGGAGAATTAATTCTTAACGATAGATACAGTTCTAAACCATGAAAATTTCATTGAATTGTTTATAAACAATCGTACTCTTTTTTTTTTTTTTTTTTTGGAAAAAAATGGTTGATAGGATTTTTGATTTGTCTAACAGTTTAAAACAGAATTTTACCTATAGTGTGTTTAATACTAGTACTCCCTTTCTTATCATCGGTTAATGTTTTAATTAACGGATGATATATGTGTATACGTATAACTATTTTTTTTTTTTCTATTTTTTTTTTTTTATTTTTACCGGGGGGACGTGAATCTAATACTCAATATATTAAAAATAACTCACACGCCTAGTAAACACTAATTGAGTTAGTCTCAATAAGCTAATTGTTTTTCTAATTAACATTTCACCTCTTATGCATCTTCTTCTTTTTTCTAATAATGTTTTAATTTACAGATGAATGATGGATGTCAATGGAGGAAATATGGACAGAAAATTGCAAAAGGAAATCCATGTCCACGAGCATATTATCGCTGCACGGTTGCACCATCCTGCCCAGTAAGAAAACAGGTATTGCTTATAAAGTTTCCCTTATTACATATATATGGAAATATATATAGCATTTGAACTCTTATTAGTTAGGCCAAACCAAACACGTACAGCACTTTTTTGTTATTTCTTCGCTTACACATTTTTTTTTTTTTAAAAATCAATGTGTACCTTATTTTTATCTGATTTCAGGTGCAAAGATGTGCCGAGGACATGTCCATCCTAACCACAACCTATGAAGGAACTCACAACCACCCACTTCCGGTTACCGCCACCTTCATGGCTTCCACCACTTCGGCCGCAGCTTCCATGTTATTATCTGGCTCTTCAACATCTTCTGATCATCCGACCAATGTTGGTCTAAATACAGCCAGTCCCAAAAGTGCACCTTCTATGCTAAATGGACTAAATTTTGGTCACTTTGACACTATGAGAACGGGGCAGTTTTACTTGCCTAATAGTACTAATTCATCCTCTCCTTTGCTCCCAACAATCACTCTAGACCTCACATCCTCTCCAATTTCATCATCATCATCATCATCACCATCACTTTTCAATAGATCATCACTACCTTCAAGCCTAGCTAGAATTCCTTTGTCGGGTCTAAGTTTCGGTAATTACTCGGAACCAAACATTTTGCCAACACTTTGGGGCAATGGATCCAACCTTGGTTATGGCAACGCAATGTTAATGCCCTATGAAAATGCCCTGCAGATTGGCTCCTCCTTAAACATTGGAAAACAAGCTAATCCTCTTCATGAGTCTTTGACAGAGACGTTGACCAAGGCGATCACGTCGGATCCCAGCGCTTTCAAGTCCGTGATTGCGGCTGCAATTTCGTCCATGGTTGGAGGCGGGGAAACCCTTCATGGGAAGCAGGATGGAGTGGAGAGATTAGGTCAAGGTTTGACTTTGGGTGACCAGAATGAGAAAGGATTGGCATCAAGCTACTTCAACAGACTGTCATCTTCCAACTTTTAAGCATAAAGCTTGATGCTTCTCCATGGCTATTTCTTTATGAGTTCAGATATTATTATATAAAATATTGTTTGCCATATTAGATAAATACACATGTGATAGCGTGCCAGTACTGTTTCATACATGGATACCACAGTTTGTTAAGCAACAGTCTTGAAACGCTATCACATTTTGTCATTAGTTACAGTAAACTATGAATTTAAGTTCTTGGCATTCCATTTCTTTTACCTTTGATATATTATGTTCAGTTTTATAATTTATTATTATTATTACTATTTTTGCTTGGAGCTCCCTTTAGGATTGGCTACTTACTGGAATGATGCTCACAGACCATCTTAAGACTTGTTTGGTAAATTTTAATACTTATAAGTTGTTCGCTAAGTTAGACTAGGGGAGAAAATACATATCAGGGGACACCAATTTTGAGCCTTTCCTCTTTTATTTTCCTCACCTGGGTTATATACTTTGGTTCCTATTTTATTTCCCTATTACCAAACATGGCTTAAACCTTGTAGCCTTCTTTCCTATTTTTGGTAATTACAAACATGCTAAGTTGATGTCAGCACAAACATTGTAAAACTTGAATACTATGAATTCCATCATAAAAAGAATTTTGTTTTATTTTCTTGACAATAATTTATACCGTCAAGTACACAACGAAAACGTTCCCTTCTGTTCTCCAGTGAACAAAACTCGGTTACACTTTTATATACAGAATCCTCTTCCGTTGTTCTTTTGCTAAGAAATCCTCTACCGCTGTTGGTTCTCATTTAGTAATGAAAAAAAAAAAAAGAAAAAAAAATCCATGACGATATAACCAAAGAATCATCGATGACAACATGTAAAGTCTTCATTCTTTTCCCTCTTAAGACAAATCTTGGACAGCCCATAAGAGCAAGTGCACTGCCTCTGCTATTCCAATAGCTTCTATCCCATTGTAACATCCCCACCACGACGAAAGCTTTGCCAAAAGACTTTCTCCGAAAATCTCAAAAAAAGCATATCATTTGGATGCTGAGCATAAGGGGAATATAAGTATGATTTTCCAGTCATTCTTGTCTATGAAACCTTGAGCAATTCATGAAATGCTTCTTGGGGTATATCGACAGACCCAATGCGCTTCATTCGCTTCTTTCCTTCCTTTTGCTTCTCCAACAGCTTCTTCTTCCGAGTAACATCCCCACCATAGCACTTAGCAAGAACATTTTTCCTCAAGGCAGAAATCCTAGTACCAGCAAAGAAAAACTTAAATGAACAGTGAAGATTAGAGTGGAAAAGCCAAAACAGTGTACAATCTTTATCAAAATCTTAAAGGAAAAACTTACGTTTCCCTTGCAATAATCTTTGATCCTATGGAAGCTTGTATGTTTATCTCAAACATTTGCCTGTCAGATTAGAAATTCTTGGGCTATGACAGGAGCGACAAAAAGTAGAATACAACGATTTATTGTAGGTCGAAGTACCTGTCTATGAATTTCTTCAGTTTCTCCACCTGTTCACGACCAACACGTTGAGCCTTCAAACTATGAACAATGGATGCCATTGCATCAACTGAGTGTCCATTCAAAAGGATATCAAGTTTCACCAAATCAGACTGTTGATATCTGTTGTAATCAATTTACCACAAGGACAAGAGGCTGAGGTGGTTATGTAATTATCTCTGGACATAGGAAATAGTAAGGTTTCACTATATATGATAGAAGCACCGAGTGTATGTGCATGAGCAAGAGAGAAAGAGTTGTTACTTACTCTGAGTCCTCGTAGTCGAATGATGCATAGCCTGATGTTAAACTCTTCAATTCATTGTAAAAGTCGACAACGATTTCCCTCAAAGGTAAGCGATATTTCATAAAAACTCGTTGGCTGCATGTATTATAAACTGAATGGCTTAACACTTCGAGTCCTCAAAAAAGGATGACCAAATACAACATAATACATATAGAAGTAAAAATAATAATAAAAAAATCAACTTTAATTGAATGCGCATCAAATATATATATATATATATATATATATATACACAGAGAG